GTGCCGAGGAAGCCGCACTTCTGCAGCACGCGCGCGGTGCCGGCGTACGTCGCGGGCTCGTGGCGCGTGCCGGCGTCGAGCCAGACACCAACAGTGGCGACGGTGGCGATGGGGTTCTCCTCGCACGCCACGCGCACGCCGTTGCCAACAGTGCTGACGTTTGTCGGAGGGATCTTCGTCAGCACCTCGCGCAGCGCCTGCGTCGTGGCGTGGTTTGATGCCGGCCGTGCACGCTGCACGAGAGTGGAGAAACTGACAGACATGGTCTGGTCCTTGCGGTGTGCCTGTCGAACTGCTGCTCTCTGTTTCCTATTGCTCCTTCTTGCCTTGTTGTTGTCGATGTTGTTGGCTTCTGCGTAGGAGGACTTGTCGTGTAGATAAGACCTTCTCTGCTACGCCTGCTCCGCTACCACAGCTGCTGCTTGCTGCTGCTGTCTTTGCAATATGTGTGTGTGGGGGTTTCTTTACGTGCCGCGCACACGCACACACCCGCCGCAGCGAAAACAAAGTGGATGGCGGAGGAAACGCGCAGGAGAGCGAGTCAACGGGAGAGAAAGAGAAATGTGTTTTGTACGCATTCGCACGCCCCCAGCAGCCCTAGGAGCAAAGCCGCACGCAGGACGGCGCAGCACCGCAGAAAGGAGTGCATAGCAGTGAAGGCGAATAACACACATAATTTAAAAAAAGGGACGCAAACGAAGGGCAACACAAGCCCCGACAAACACACACACACACACAAAAAAGCTCCCTGGCGCATCAATACATCAGCACATATACAGCACACACAGACACACAAAAGAAAAAACACGTGCCGGTACCCCGCATCTACTCCACCCCACGCGTCCATATATATATATATATATATTCCCCCCTCCCTCCTTTCGGGTGTGCCACGCAAAGCGGCACACCCTTCATCGTGACGCATTGCAAAGCAGGCACACACACACACATATATATATATATATACATGCGTACAAATACGTCACATATTACGTCGCAGTGCATTAACACACATACACACAGACAGACACACACATATATATATAGGCTCTTCACATAGTGACACGGAAACACGAGGCAGAAAAACAGTTCAAAAAACAGCTTCAGAGCGTGCGTGTGTGTGTGTGTGTGTGTGTGTGTGTGTGTGTGTGTGAATGTAAACTGATGGGACACGCCCCAAAGAACAAGGAACAGCAATGTCGATAACCTCTACAGCGGCACTAGCAGAATGCCCTCAAACGATAGATGCACGCATATAGATGTACATCAAAACAATACAAAAAAGAAACCCCGCAAGAGCACGGAGGAGGAGAGAGTTAGAAACCGACACTCACGAGAGCAATATCTAAAGGCTGTTGAGTGTGAAAAAAAAAAACGAAGAAAAACCAAGGTAGAGAGCGGATCTGGCATCCACAAACCCGAAGCCTCATATGCATATATAAACGAGCACGCAGGCATCGTTACAGGTTGTCTTCTCACCCCCGCTCGGGTGTTTCGAGCGCCTCCTTTGCCGCCGGATTCGTGCCAGCCTGGCCCCTGCTCTTCTCTATCACTCACATGTTCCCCACACCACTTATTTTCACCATCCTTATGCGTCTGAGCAGATAAATCCATACCTATATCTGTACAGATATATATACTACGAAGATTTCAGTGCTTTCTTAGCACGCTTCGCCTCCGCTTCCATCTCTGCACGGAATGTGCGGTTTATCTCCATGACTTCCTTCTTCCACTCCGCCTCCATGGCGTGCCCCTGCTTCGTTGCCTCCTTCTCTAACTTTTTTGCGGCATGGCGCAGCGCCTTTTCAGCCTTTGCGGGAGTCGTGACGCAGCGCGCCATGCCTCTGTACGTACGGCCGATATCAGCAAGCACAAGCATAGAGTCCTCCTGCAGCCGCTTCCGCGCCTTGGATTCCTCCCTGACTAGTGCCTTGACTACCTTCCCCTTGATCATTATCTGCTCCTGGTATTCCTTTTCGTTTTGCTCCTCACGATGGCCCTGATCCTTTTCATTCTGCGCCCCTTCTATGAACTGTTGTTCATCCTCTTCATCGCCTTCTACACCCTTCTCACCTTGGCATTCCGCCAGTTCCAGATTTCCCTCTTCCGCCTGCTGCTCCCTTTCCGCCGCAACCTCCTCCTTTTCCTCCTCCTCCATTTGGAGCCCGTCCTCCTGCGTCGCCGCGTTGGGGTCAACGTAGTATACCTCACCACTCCCCGCCATATAGTAGTAGCATGTCTCGTCGCCAGTGTCCATCGTCTCATCGGTCCCCGACTTGCTGTTAACGTTGTCTTGGTTCGCTATCCCACCCCCTGTCCCGTGGGACGAGGCATCAACGTACGGCTCGTGCCGTGGGCCCTCCTCCTCCGCCACCATCGTCAAGTTCCTGCGCGCGGTCACTAGCAGCTGCTTCAAATGGCCAAACAGATTCGTCTTCCCATTGCTCACGGTGGGGGAATGTAATTCAGAACGGCGGTTCTGGTGTGACGCGTCAAACGAGTATGTCTGTGCCAGCGCATCGACAACGACGTCGCTCCCCTC